GCCGGCCGCGCGTACCTGGGTGACCGACCACTTCAGCACCACGGGCCGCGTGACGCAGGGCAGCGCCGAGCTGAGGACGCGCAGCAGCCGGGGCTGCGCATGGGACACGGGCGACGTCCTGCTCAGGCAGTAGGTCATGGTGTCGTGGCTGCCTGCAGGGACACGAGGGACATCACGCTGGGCGCCCTCCCCTCACCCGCCTGGGCCTGCACACGGGACCACGGGACTCCAGGCCCACTGGCTCACGTCCGCCGGCCGCCTGCAATCAGGGCCGGGAGAAGAGGGGTCCCTGCTGGGGGAATTAGTGGAGAATGTGCAGGGGAGACCTTCCTGCATCAGCCTCCTGACTCCAAGGGAGACACGGGGACACAGACACAGAAGAGAAGCCGTGTGGAGATGAAGGCACAGGTGGGAGCAATGAGGCTGCAGCCCCAGGAGGAGGCTGAGGCGGGAGGGTCTCCCGGGGAGCCAGTGCGGGGAACACAGCCCAGGATGTATGTAAATGCACGTTGTCATATATGTTCAATTCATTATTATTGTTTCAGACAAGGTCTCACGTAGCCCAAGCTGGCCTCCAACTCAGGAGATCCTCCTGCCTCAGCCTCAGCGCACAGGGTCCAGACTTCTCCATCCCCGCTCAGCGAAGTCTTGGACCTACTCCCAGGCACTGGGCGTCTCACGGCTGCTGGGCTTGGATCTCTAAAATCTCATCCTCTGTGGCCGTCGGGAGGAGCAGCCCCTGTGAACCACAGACCCGACACTGCTGAGCCTTCTTAGGGGACCAGGAGCCGGGCGTGGTGGCGCACGCCTGTAATCCCAGCACTCGGGAGGCTGAGGCAGGAGGATCGCTGCGAGTTGGAGGCCAGCCTGAACTGCATGGCGAGACCCTGTCTCAAAAAGACAATAAAAGAGGGAGCAGGAGTCTGATGGAGGGGCGGGAGAGGGTCTGGTCTCCCGGAGCTGGAGCCTACACACACACACACACACACACACACACACACACACACACACACACACTCCGCGCCTCACCCGGGATGGACAGCTGGTGCAGCGGGATGTCCCACAGCCCCGGGCTCAGGCCCGACATCCAGTCCGCGTTGGCTCCAGGGCCGGATGGCGTCCCGAAGATGCCCGGGGCGCTGAGCTGTCCGGCCATGGAGACGCAGCTGCGGGGACCTGGGGGACAGAGAGGCTCCATCAACACGCTGGGCACTGCAGCCGGAGAGGACACACTGGCCGGGGACGCGGCAGAAGCAGAGGGCTCCAAGGGGAAGGATGTTGGGCAGGCGTGCGTCTCTGAGCGTTCACTGACTCAGTCTGATCCCCCGGACCTCAGACGCCTCCACTTGCAACTCCCCTGCTGTCGTCCCCACGGCTCAACACCTGGGGGTGCATGCGCATGAACCTTTCTGCCTCCTTCCTGTTCTGTCCCGACACCATCCTAGGCACGTGTTAGTTGAATGACTAACAAACCTCCCTCCCTCTGCCGAGTGCCCCACACACCCTGACTTCCCTCCCCACGGTGCTGGCTGCTCCTGGGAGGAAATCACATGCGGTGGGAAGGCCAACTGGAGGCTGGGGAAGGAGGCTGCCCCGCCCCGCCCGGCCCAGAGATCCCAGTCCTTGCCGTGTGAGGCCGTGGTCTGTGCCGCGCTCTCCGTCCCTGGCCGGGTCAGACAAGCCCTGGCGCTCGATCTACACTGATTGGGGTGGAAGAAACGTCCCCCGTGACTTGGACTCTGACACAGCGGCCTGGGTGGCTGCAGACCTCAGAACCCCAGCTCCCGACCGACCCCTGAGTCCCGGTGCTGCTTCAAATCCGGAGGCTGAGCCGGGACGGCGGCGCGCGCTTGTCATCACCCCACACAGAAGGCTGAGGCAGGAGGGTCCCCGAAAGTTCCAGGCCAGCCTGGACCACACAGCAAGACCACCGCAAATAAGCACATAAGAAAAATAAAGGGCCAAGGCTCACTCGGCCCCACGCAGACGGCTCGAGGCTGCCAGAGTGCGGGTGTCAGCGCCAGGCTGCCCGGCCCCGGACCACAGTGGGCGGTCACAACGGGCACCCCTGCGGGAACCTGGGCCCCCAGAGGCCAGCCCGGCCCACCAGACCGCCCGCCCACCCGGCTCCGCGGCCGGCCCATGGGTCTAGGTCCAGCCCCCGCCCGAGCCCAGGCCCCCAGAAAAAAGGGGTTCCTGCGAAAAAAGGGCCACCGCGTCCGTGTGCGGCCAGGAGCGGGACGGCCCGGGCCCCCGCAGCCACCTGACACTCACTGGTGCACGAGGAAGACCCCGCGTGGCAACAGCGCCCGGCCCGCCGCAGGTCCCCGCGGCCCCCTCCCCGGGACCCAGCCGCGCTGCACCCACCCCGGTGGACCGCAACCTGGGCACGGGCTGGGGTCCCGTCTGTCCAGGGCAGCGTCCCCGGACCCAGGGCTCAGACGGCCGGCAGGACACGCGTGGGCACAGAGGCGGCCGGCAGGACACGCGTGGGCACAGAGGCGGCCGGCAGGACACGCGTGGGCACAGAGGCGGCC